AAAAATGCATATATTATATCTATAAAATATATAATCTATGATGCCTAATCATATATTTCTTTTGGGCAGTTTTCCCCCTTATCTAATGCAGTGTTCATTATCTATTCAATCTTTCCCATTTTCTTCCCCTACATCTGTTCTATTTTTATAACAAAAGTGTTATGCATTATTTGTCCTTTTGTGACTGAGATATTTCACTCAGCATAATGTCTTCCAGGCTTCACCATGTTGTGTAATGTTTTATGAGTTCATTGTTTTCCAGTGCTCTGTAATTTTCTATTATGTCAGTGTATGATAGTTTTACAATCCATTCATTTGTTGATTGGCACTTGGGTTGCTTCCATTTCTTTACTATTGTGAATAACACAGCAATAAATAAAAAGCTGCGTTACAATCCCAAAGGCACCATGGTTCTAGGCTTCCTGCCTGCTCCATGGGAGAAGGATGTGCAGTCTCCTGTGCAATTAACTGCCTCTGAAAACCTGTTGGAAGGTCTGCTAAGTTCCAACTTTATGGTACACAGCAGCAACAACAAACATGGATATACATACCCAACCAGGAGAAAATAAAATAAATGAAGGAGACATTCTAAGAATCAAATTCCAATGCACATAAAAAAACTCCTTCAGTAGGATAAGAAGGAAACCCATAGACTGGGGAAAAATATTTGGCAATGACATATCTGATAAAAGACTTCTATCTAAAATTGGGAGACTACTTCAGCACCTCTCACAACATGAATACTTCACCAAAGAAGACATTCAGATGGCAAACATAGACATGAAGAAATGTTCAAAATCCTTGTCTATTTTACAGATGCAAATAAAAAAAGCTATATCTCCAGCAACATTTGCAAAATTCAATAGGGCTGCAAATAAAAAATGCTGGCAAGAGGTTTTGGAGAGATTGGAACACTTATTCACTGCTGATGGGAATATAAAATGGTACAACCACTATGTAAGGTGGTATGGTACTTTCTCCAAAAGTTGGAAATAGAAATATCATTTGACCTACCAATTACACTACTGGGAATATACCCTATTTTTACATTCTTGCTAGTATTTTAGTCTTTCATAATTTCTTTATAGAGTATTTCCGTTTCCTGGATCCTTATGTAGGCCTGTCCTTCTCTTCCTTTCCTTTCTATATAGTCAGTTCTCCCTTACGCTGTAAGGATAGTTGACAACAAATAAACACTTTATTTCTTTAAACATTTGTTCTTCTGTTTGTCCATGTATGTTGTTATGTGCGGTCAACTTGTAGCTCATAGTGACCCTATGTACAACAGCTCTAATCCCTGCTCTATCTGGTACTAATCTTACTGTCTCTGACACACCTACCCCCCTTACCCCAGTCACTGAATCAGTCTATCTCATCAGGGGTCTTGATATCTTTTGCTGTCCCTCCACCCTCCCAAGCATGACATCCCTGTCTAAGGACTGGTTCCTCCTTATAACATTTCTAAAGTATGTCAGGGGAAGCTTCAGAGCCCTTGCTTTCAAGGAGCATCCTGGTTTCACCCTCTCTAGGATGTACCCGTTTATTCTCCTAGCAGTCCATGGCATATTCAGTACTCTTCTCCAACACCACAGCTCAAAGGCATTAATTCTTCTTTCGTCCCTAGTCGCTGTCCAGCTTTCTGATGCCTATCAAGTAATTGCAAAGACCATAGCCTGAATCAGGTGCACCTTAGTTCCTAAACTGACATCGTTGCTCTTAGTACTTTGGAGAGGTCTCTGATTACAGATTTTCCCAGTGCAATTAGTCTTTTAATTTCCTGGCTACTGGTACCAAGAGTGTTGATTATGGAACCAAGCTAACTGGAGATGTTAACAACCTCAGTCTCTTCACCATCTATCATGATGCTGCCTATTAGCCCAGTGGTGAGAATCTTTATTTTCATGATGTTGAGCTTCAGTCCATATTGAAGGCTGTAGTCATTGACCTTCTGCAGCAAGCATTTAAGGTCGTCATCAGTTTCATCAAGCAGGGTTGTGTCATCGGTGTAAGGCAGATTGTTGATTAGTCTTCCTCTAATTGTGATGCCACATTTCTACTCATACAGCCCAGCCTTCTGGATATTCTGTTTTGCATATAGATTAAAAAGGTATGAAGATAGGACACATCACTGGGGTACACCCTTCCCAATTTTCAACCATGATGTATTTCCTCGCTCAGTTCTGAGAACTGCCTCCTGGTCCAAGTATAGGTTTTGCATAAGCACAATCAAGTGTTCTGGGATTCCCTTTCTTCCAATATTTAGCCACAATGTGTTGTGGAAGGTCAAGCTAAAGCTAAGGAAAATGAAATCATATCCACGGGAACTAAAATTTGGCCTTGAGTCTATCCCACCTGAATTTCAAAACCATCTCAGAAACAGGTTTGAGGCCATGTACATTAATGAACAAAGAACAGATGAGCTGTGGGAGGATATCAAGAATATCATCCAGGAAGAATACGGGAAGTCATTACAAAGAGGAGGAAGAAAAGACCCAAGAGGGATGTTGGAATAGACTCTGAATAGTCCACTAGAGTGCCAAGAAACTAAAGGGAGGAAATTAAGGAGCTGAACAGAAGATTTCAAAGGACAGTGGAAGAAGACAAAGTAAAATATAAATGTGTAAAGAGCTGGAGTCAGAAAATCATAGGGGTCAAACTCACTTGGCATTTTTTAAGCCGAAGGAATTGAAGACCAAATTTAAGCCTCAAATCACAATACTTAAGGATGCTTTGGGCAGAATATTAAACGACCCAGGAAGCATTAAAAGAGGATGGAAAGAGTATGCAGAATCATTGTGCCAGAAGTTATTGGCAAACACGGAAGAACTTCGTGAAACAACATATGAGCAAGAGCCTGTGGTGATGGAAGAAATTCAAGCTGCTCTGAAAAAATTGGCAAAAAAACAAGGCCCCAGAAATTGACAGCATAACAGTTAACATATTTTAACTAACAGGTGCTGTCCTAGATGTGCTCACCAAGTTGTGCCAAGAAATCTAGAGGACAACTACCTGGCCAAGTGACTGGAAGAAACCTGTATTTGTTCCCATTGCAAAGAAAGGTGACCTGAAAGAGTGCAGATATTACTGAACAATATCATTAATAACACTTGCAAGTAAGATTCTGCTGAAAATTATCCAAAAACAATTGGAACAGCACATCTGTTGTTAAACACAGCAGACTGAGTTTAGAAGAGGCCATGGTACTAAGGATAGTATAGCTACTGTAAAATGGATCTTGGTCAAAATGTAAAATAGATCTTTGTTGAAAGCAGAGAGTACCAGAGGAATGTCTGCCTATTTCATTGGTTACCCAAAGGCATTTGACTGTGTGGATCACAACAAACTGTGACTGGCTCTGAGAAGAACAAACTATGTCACTGTGTAGATTTATAAAATCACCAGGATAGTAAAATAATAACCACAGAACACTTTTCATGCTGTCCCTTTATAACTTGACTTTTACGCTTTGCATTTACTTCCCCATCCCTTGCTATTAATCTATTCTCCATGATAACTTTTTTAAATAAATTTTTTACTTAATTGTGATTCTAATGAAATTTTATGTTAAAGTTGTGTTTACATTCATTCATTGTTGTGCGTTTTATCTGCTCTCCTAGTTCAGTGGTTTTTTTTTTTAATATTCATTTTTCACAATTAATCTACTCCCCTTCCCCCAATCCTAATTGCACTGTACCTCTTATCTTGGCCTGCTGTTGTATGTATGATGCTTAATCATACATCCCTTTTAAACCATTTTTTTCCTTCATCTCTTCCAGTGCTATGTCTGTCTGTCTGTCTGTCTGTCTATCTATCTATCTATCTATCTATCTATCTATCTATCTATCTATCATCTGTTCTTTCTGTTCTCCTCCTAACCCCCCATACCAGTCACAAAAGAACAAATATTACGTAGCACCACTGTTATAAAGCTAAAGCAGGTCTTTGCTAACTTGAAGCATTTCTTTGAGACACTGATAGTATTTTGCACAGGCCAATCTCATCAGACTTTTAATTTGATCCTCCCCCAGAATTTTAAATTATTATCATTATATTGTTGTTGTTAGATGCCGTCTAGTTATGTTCAACTCATAGCAACCCTAAGAATAGCAGATCTGAATCTGGTCTTATCTGGTCTTTTCCTCACCATCTCTGACACATTTAAGCCCATTGCTGTAGTTACAGTGTCAGTCCATCTCATCAGAAATCTTGGTCTCTTTTGGTGACTGTCTATCTTTCCAAGCATGATATCCCTTTCTAAGGAATAGCCTCTTCTAACAGTATGTCCAAATTATGAGACACAAAGCTTTGCCACTGTTGCCTTCAAGGAACATTCTGGCTACACATTGTAAGATACACCTATTCATTCTTTTTTCAGTCCATGGGATATTCAATATTCTCCAACGCTAAAGCTCAAACCTACTTATTCTTTGTTCAGTCCATGGGATATTCAGTATTCTCCAACACCACAGTTTAAAGTTATCCATTTGTCTGCCGTTCATATTCATTGTTCACTTCAACAACAGTTTTTTGTTAAAGTTTTCTTCCGTAGTGTGGTTAAATATTTCTAAATGGAATTTTCTTAGCTTTTGTTTGTCATTTGTAAAAACTGAGATATGCTTTTGTTCTTCTTATTAAGAATTAGAAAAACACCCTTTTTCCTCTTTATCTTTCTTTTGATATTTCTGTCAGATAGCCTTGAATTTTTTCCATTAATTGATAGGGCATAATTTTTCTCTTGCCTTTCTCCTTCAACTAATAATATTACTTTGTTATAAGTAATAATTATTATTATAAATTTTATATAAGTATATAACAAATAATACATAAACATAAATATTATAAATAAAAATTTATTAAAAATCACAATACTGCCTATCATGTACCTTTCTGGATTTTGTGTAAAGTATTATTCCATCATTAATGACGAAAATCCACATAAGCAGTTAACACATAACTATCAGAGTTCCACTTTCATTCTTTCTGTGGGTTTTTTGTGAGGGAGAAGGCTGAAGAATGTTGATATTTAAGCTTAGAATAGAGCCATTCAAGACTTACTTATGTCACATAACTAACTCTTTGCCGTTGAGTTGGAAATAATCCATAGATGACCCTCCATTACGTTTGCAATGCTGTAAATCTTCTAGGAAGAGCTTGTCCATCTTTGCCCTGAAGAGTAACTGGTGAATTTTACCTGCTAGAGGCTCAGCCTTCGGGTTAACAGTCCAACTCTCTACAACTCACTAATGTCATCAGGGCTTTTATATCACATGTGTGCCGGAGCACATACAACTGACCCTCTAGTGGGTCAGAACAGAACACACATAGCTGACCTGCTAGTGGATTTTCTGAGACTATAAATTGCTTCATAAGGGATTGCCCATCTTTTCTCCCATGCAGGGGCACGTGAATTACTGCCTGCCTTTGAGGTTGCAGGGCAGCCCCTTACCAGTAGGCCACAAGAGCTCTCTTTCATGTCATATGGTGGCTGATAATTTAATTCTTAAATCAGAAGTCTTAGAAATATGTTTTAGAATCTTGATTTTTGACTTAGGAAACCACTTTTTTGAAATATTGCTGGAGTAGGTAAAATAAGTTACCTCGTCTTGTCTATTGCATTTCTGATGTTTTATAGCACTTACTGGGCCTATATAGTATACTCTGGTGGTGCAGTTATTGAAGTCCTTAACCTAAAGTCTATTGTTGAATCCTATTCTGTTACATAATGTTACTGAGTCAGAATAAACTTAATAGAAGAATGCCTGCGTTAAGAATTACAGTCATTCATTGAGTATTAAGTAAATGAATTCAGTGGTTTTTTTTTTTAGCTCTGTATTTTAAAATGTATTCAACTTTTTTCTCTTTTAAAAATAAGAGTAGGACAAAATGGCTTATTTTGTTTCTTAGTATCATTGTGAGAAAGAACAAAAGGGTGGGGAGTGAAAGTGGGAATCAAGTAACTGGTAGGAGAGCTGAACTTCTCAGAATCCCAGACCATTCCCATTTTGAGTGCTTTGGGATTGGAGTGTTGGGGGCAGAGGAAGAGGAGAGACAGAATGTGATTGATTAAGCTAGAGTAGAAAAAAGGCACTGGTACATTATATCTTGGGCCTCTCGGAAGGTGAAGCCAGACTCCTTGTGATTCAGGCCTTTAATCTTTTCTTGTCTCTTTAATTAATTTGATCTTGCTTTTAGTCTTGAGAGTGCACAACTTTATCACGAGGATGGTCTTCTGCCTCTTTTAGGGTCCCCTGGTAGGCCTTTGTTGCCCGCACCTCCAGTGCATGTGCTGATGCTCTCAAACATGTTTTTGCAGTGGACTCCAAACTCCTTGCAGTTGCAGGGCAACCTGTACTGGATGCACTGGTTCTGGGTCCTGCAGGTGCCTTTGAGGAAACCTACCCCACTGTCCTGGCTTCTGGGTTTGCAGGACTCCCAGGTCCACTCTGTGCATTTGCTCTCTGGGCCACTGTTCTTTACTTTTTTGTTTTGGTCACCATGGAAATGAGCACCATTAGGGATACCAGGGTCAAGAAGAAGGCTCAGTGCTGTATCTCACTGGCCACTGGGGCTGCTTCACCTCCTCTCATACCTCACCAGTATATCAAACTCTTAATGTTTTTCAGTCGTTTTCATATTAGAAATTTCTTCATACGAACACTGAGGCAAAGGAATTAGTATATTCACTTTATGATAGATAATAGTTATCATACTTAGTTGAATTTCTTATGATGTTATAGGTGACAATGCCAAGATTCAGATTCTTGCCTTAACTAGTCAATTTTTTAATTTTTAAAAAAATTTTAATGAAAGTTTACAGAGACTTGGATTTCCATTCATACATTGTTGCACACTTTCCACCCACCCACCCCTCCTCTCAGTTTACTCTTCTTGAAGAGAGAGAGAAAAAAATTCTTTCATTGCTATACAATCCCTACCCCCTTAAGTCCACTTTACTGAGCAGCTCTTATTCCGAAATCTTGTCATGAAAATAATACCTAATTATATCTCTCTTTTAAACAGATCTCTCCCTCATCTGTTTCAGTGAAGTATACATTATTTATCCCCTCTTAAGTTCTCCCCAGCCCCCATGTCAGTCCTGTTTTACAGCAATGGCATTATGCAGCATTTGTCCTTTTTTGACTGAGATATTTCATTCAGCATAATATCCTTCAGAGTCATCCATTTTGTATAATATTTCATGAGTTCCTTGTTTTTCAGTGCAGCATGGTATTCCATTGTGTGAATGTACCACAGCTTCCCTATCCATTGGTTTATTGATGAGCACTTGGGTTGTTTACATCTCTTCGCTATTGTGAACAAAGCTGCAATAAATATGGCTATACATATATCTGCCTGGGTGGCAGTTATGGTTCTTTGGGGTATATTTCCAGTAGTGGAATTGTTGGGTCAAATGGTATTTCTATTTGCAACTTTTTGAGAAAGTGCCATTCTGCCGTCCATGGTGGTTACACCATTTTACACCCCCACTAACAATGAATGTAGGTTCTAGTTTCTCCACAACCACAGCAGCATTTGTCATTTGCTGCTCCGTTGAATTTTGCTATTCTTTTTCTATCTCATTTTGGGGTGAGATGATACCTCATAGTTGTTTTGATTTGCATCTCATCTCTCTTAGAGCTAGGGATTTTGAGCACTTCTTCATGTGTTTGTTGTCCATCTATGCCCTTTTCGAAATTGAGTTGTTTACCTTTATCTTCCTGTGGTGCTCAAATATTCTATAAATTCTAGATATAAGTCCTTTATCAGATATACATTACCAAATATTTTTTCCCAGTCTGTGGCTTCCCTTTTTACCCTGTTGGAAAAGTTTTTGAATGTGCATAGGGATTTGGTTCTTTTTTTGGGGGGGGGCGGATTCCATTTATTTATTGTTGCACTTTTCTCCCCACCCACCCCAACCCCCAGTTCGCTCCTCTCCTTGAAAAGCAAAAGAAAAACTCTTTTCATTGGTACACAATCCCCCCCCCACCCCAAGTATACTCCACTCTGCAACCCTCATTCCGGACTCATGATAATCATAATCCCTTAAAATATATTAATTTTAAACTATTCTCTCCCTCATTGGTTTCAATGCAGTAAACATAATTTATCCAGTTTTTCTCAGTCTTACCCCCACCCTCATTCTACAACAGTAGCACCAAATAATATTTGTCCTTTTTTGACTGAGATATTTCACTCAGCATAATGTCCTCCAGGGTCACCCATTTTGAATAATATTGCGTGAGTTCAGTGTTTTTCAATGCAGTGTAGTATTCCATTTATACCACAGCTTCTATCCATTCGTTTGTTGATGGGCACAGATTTGATTCTTAGAAGGTTCCATTCATCTGTTTTATCCTCTCCTGGTTGTAGATTTAACTAGACATTTTTACACTATATTTGAGTAAATAAAGAATCATATACTGAAAGAAATCACCTCCCTGCCCCAAAAAACACACATTTAAAGTTCTTATTTTAAATTTTCCATGTAGATTGGATAAGTTTTATCTTTTTTGTTTCAGAATACACCAAACCCCCCTGTATCACCAGGAAAGTCTGCAAATGATATCAGCAGTAATAATAATGTTCCATACAGGTGAGAATAATAAATTCTGTTTTGTCAGTTTTAAAGTAACAGTTTTAATTTTAGTTTATGGGAAAAATACTACCTGTTTATGTAGAGAAAAGTGTTAACAAACTGGATATTTTTTTTTCTATTATGGTGAATTGTAACTATTCAGCTATATTTCTTCTGATCATTATAAGATTTGGTTAATACCTATTTCTTTAACCACTAGTACTAAATAATTTGAATTAGGATGTTGGTGAACTTAATACTGTATATAGAGTATACTCTAGCCAACCAAAAGAAAAAATAAATATTGGATGAAGTGTAACTAGGGTGTCTTTAAAGGCAAACACTGATTTTTATTTCTTTTTAGGAAAACATCCTTTTGCATTTGAAGCGATTAAAAAAAGACTTTATCTCAACTATTTGACCATGTTATCAGACGAGACAGTTCTTGGAAAAGGACATCATACTTTTAAAAAGTAGAGTCTTGGCAAAAGAAAGGAAGACTCTGAGTGAGATCTTTTGACAGACTCCACAATAGTGGGCATAAACACAGTGGAGATTGTGAGGATGGCGCGAGATGTCGGGGGAGATTCCAGTCTCTTGAACATAGGGTTGCTGATGAGTGAGTGTCCACTTAACAGCAGCTGACAACAACAGTAAATAATAGTCTCGCAAGTAACTTAGTCATTCTTTGATCAAGGGTGAGAAAGACTATTGTCTGTAAATGTTGGGACCTACATTTGGTCATAAAGTACAAGTACTGAGGAAATAGACACCAGCATTAAGAAGGCTGTGTGCTTCCTGTGTCTTAGTGTATTGATTCATTAGGGTTGCAAATCACAGATCTGTCCATATTTTTCTATGAGCCACTGTTTTTTTTTCTATACAGAAATTCATATCTTCCAGAATGGCATATCCATTGACAATTTGTGTGAATATTTATTTCATAGAAATGCAGGCACAGTGAGGCAGATGCTGGAGTCCAAAAGAAATGTAAACGAGAGTGCACCGCCATCCTTTCAAACCCCTGTGAATACAGGTAACATTTTTTTAACACCAGAATACATTTTTTAGGGCTTGAAGGTTTTGGCTCTTTTTTCCCTTTTCTTTCTTTTTAAAAACATCCTTTTGCTCTTCTGTGATTCAAAAAACTAGATACATTGGTCCAAAGCACAGTGCTTACTGCAAAATTAAAAAAAAAATCAGGTTGGCAGTTAAGAACATGTAAAAATCTAGACAGTCTAATAATCTCTTTTAAAGTCCTGCTTCTCAAATGTTTTAGTCCTGTAACCCCATTATACTCTTAAAAATTAAAAATTACAGAGACATTTTGTTAACTTGAGTCTTATAAATCAGTAAGTTTAAGTACCATCAAGTTGGAATTGACCTGTGGATGACCCTTCAGTGGGTTTTTAGAGGCAATAAATTGCACAGGTGGAGATTGTCCATCTTTCTCTTGGGGAGTAAAATGGTAGATCCAAACCATGTGACTTTCTTTGGATTAGCAGAACTCTTTACACCATGCCACCAGAACTCCCTAATAGTATATCCTCTTGTGGAAATTTAAAGGAAAGATTGCTATTGTGTTAATTCATGTTCATGACTCCTCCTTACAGAGTTATTACAGAGTAGAACTGCATTTTCTTCCAAGGAATCATTGTGTAAGTTCAAATCACCAACCTTTGAATTAGTAGTTAAGCACTCAATTGTTCCTGTTACCTAGAAGCTGCATAGTTCAGGATTAGGATAGGTGTGCATCATGGATGTATCCTATCTCCTTACATTTTCAGGCTCTATGCAGAACAGATCATTTGGGAGGCTAGACTTTATGAAGTCTTTTTTGAGGAGGAAGATGGCATCAGAATTTGAGGAAGACTTATCAACAAATTCCATTAGGCAGATGACACAGCCTTGCTTGCTGAAATTAAGGACATGAGGCATTTGGTGCAGCATGTCAAGGAATGTAGTGTTCAATATGAATTGAAGCTCAACATCAAGAAAACAAAGATTCTCACCACTGGGCCAATTGGCAGCACCCTGATGGATGGAGAAGAAATTGAGATTGTTGATAACTCCAGTTTACTTTTGTCCACAATCAGCACTTGGCACCAGCAGTCAGGAAATCAAAAGACAAATTGCATTGAAAAGCCTGCCGTCAGGTACCTCTCTAGAGTACTGAAGAGCAACCATATCAGTCTGGAGACTAAGGTGTCCCTGATCCAGGCCATAGTCTTCACAATTACTTGCTATGCATCCGAGAGCTGGACAGTAACTAAGGATGATAGAAAGAAAATCAATGCGTTTGAGTTGTGGTGCTGGAGAAGAGTGTTGAACATAACATGGACTACCAGGAGAGCAAGTAGCTCTGTCTTGGAGGGGGTGAAACCAGGCTGCTTCTTAGAGGCAAGGATTTTGAAGCTCTGTCTCACATACTTTGATTATATCACCAGGAGGGACCAGTCCTTGGAGAGGGACAGCATGCTTGGAAGAGTGGAGGGACAGTGGAAGACCCAGGATGAGATGGATTGATTGAGTCAGTGACTGGAAAAATAGGGTTAGGTGTGTTGGAGATAGTGAGATTGGCTCTGAAGAGGACAAGTTTCAGAGCTGATGGACATAGGGTCACTGTGAGTTGCAGGTAACTCGGCATATAACAACAACAGTAGAAATTAAAACACTGACATTTTGAAAATATTTTTTCATTTAAATAATGATAAACTCATAATCTATAACACACATAACATTACCAAAAGTAACCTTCTTTTCCAAAGCAGTGTCTCTATGAAATGAACCTAGGGAAACTCTATCTGCCTCTGCACTCATCAACCTCACACTGAGATACATAGTTGGAAAAGAGAGGAGTACTTTTGATAATTGTGAATATTCTTCTTTCATACCAAAAAATACTATTTTCTTAAATGTTAGTACTTGTACAGATAAATTGGAAATATTAAAATAGTTTTTGTAATTAAAATCCTTTTACTTATCCATGTGCTTTCAGTGGATCTGTTGCTAATATCAGTCGTTGATCATTTAGAAAAATTTCAGAAATACTAGTTCACTAAAGTATACACATAATTTTCAAGTTGACATACTTCATTAATAAATATAAAAACATTTGTTAATGTCACTGTCAATTCTTGGAAAAACCTTACGAATTTTGAAATCTAACATTCTCTGTTTAGCAAATAGAGTAAATCCCCAAATGCCAGTTTTTATTTTAAATGTAATTTTATGTTGGCTGTAAGTACTATGGTTTTTTTTTTTTTATGCTCTGCCTCAAGTACCTTGGGCACATACATGGCCAGGAGAGACTGGTCCTTGAAGAAAGACATCATGCTCGAAAGGGTGGAGATAGCACAGGAGAGGAAGACACTGGATGACATGGATTGATACAGTAACTGAGGCAATGAGAGTTGGTGTGTCAGAATTAGTGAGACTGGCTCAGGACAGGGAAGGCTTCAGAGCTTCTCTACAATAGGGTCACTATGGGTCTCAGGCAACTCAACAGCACATAACAACAAAAACCCCATAAATACTATTTGGGTTTTTTCCTTTAGTGTGTCTGTTTTGGTCTGTTTTTAAGAAAAGATCTAACATGTACTCAAACAAGTATGTTTGTAAGTTGTTCTTGCAGATAAAAATAATTTGCTTTAAAAAGTTAGTTGATGTAGTTTACAACCCAAACATTGTACCAGCATTTTACTTTATACAAGTATCCTACTTTGGCATACAGCTCTTGTTGTTACGTGCTGTCGAGTCACCTGCAACCTATAGCAACCCATAGGCTCAGAAGCCTGCCCTGTCCAGAGCCAACCTCAGACACACCCATTTTCATTGTCCCAGTAGTTTTATCAATCCATCTTATCCGGGATTTTCCTCTCCTATACTGTCCCTTCACCCTTCAGAGCATGATGTCCTTCTCCAAGGACTGGTCACTCCTGTCCACTTGCTCAAAGTATGTGAGACAAGAGTTCTAAAACCCTTGCCTCCAAAGAGAAACTTGGTTTCACCTCTTTAAGACAGACCTATTTGTTTTCTTCTCCAGTGCCACAACTCAATTCTTATGTCATCCTCAGTCATTGTCCAACTCTGGGGCATAGCAAGCCTGTATCAGGTGCACCTTAGTTTCTATATGGACATCATTACTTCTGAGTACTCTGGAGAGGTCCCTGACAGCAGATATTTTCCCAATGCAGTTCCTCTTTTGATTTCCTGATTGTAGTGCCTAGAGTGTTGATTGTGGAACCAAGCAAGCTAAAATTGTTAACAACCTAAATCCCTTCTCCAGCTACCATGGTGCTGCCAATTGGCCCAGTGGTGAGCATCTTTGTTTTCTTGGTGTTGAGCTTCAATCAGTATTGAAGGCTACAGTCCTTGACCTGCAGCAAAGATAGACAGTTTCCTCCCATTAAGATTTACAGGCTTTAAAGACCCAAAATGGAAGAAGTTATAGCTATAGGTCACTTCCAACTTGAAGGAAACCAATAACATACCTTGTTATTACTTAATTTTTAATTTCTAGTTATTTGCTTTGCAATCATTATAGTAATAAAGTAATCTCATAGATTGTTTTATTGTGATATAAATTACCTATATTAATCATAAATCAGTTGTTATTTCTGCATTGTGCCAAACACAGAAAAAATATGTCAGAGACTTTAATTTTTAGAGTAAGGACCTGGATATAATTATTAAAAGAGTTGATGATACCTGATATAATATGTTACATTTGTATGTAAATTTGTTAATCTGTAATAATGGATGTTTAAACTTAGACTTCTCTTTTCTTTCTATAGTATCGTCAACCAATCTTATCACTCCTCCAGCAGTTGTCAACAGTCAGCCTAAATTGCAGACTTCGGCAGCTTCAGGTTCTCTACCAGCAACACCAGTTCTTCCTGCACCCAAAACAGCTACAGTAGTTGCTACTACTCAGGTGCCTAGTGGAAATCCTCAACCTACAATCTCTTTACAACCTTTACCAGTGATTCTGCATGTACCTGTTGCTGTATCTTCTCAACCTCAGCTCCTGCAGAGCCATCCGGGGACTATAGTGACTAACCAGCCTTCAGGCAATGTTGAATTTATTTCTGTGCAGAGTCCACCTACAATGAGTGGTCTTACCAAAAATCCAGTATCTTTGCCATCATTGCCAAACCCCACAAAACCAAACAATGTTTCCTCTGTGCCCAGTCCTAATATTCAAAGGAATTCTCCTGCCAGTGCTGCACCACTAGGGACACTTGCTGTTCAGACTGTTCCAACAGCACATTCTATTGTACAAGCCACAAGGACTTCTTTACCCACAGTAGGCCCATCAGGACTCTATAATCCATCAAATAATCGTGGTCCTATACAGATGAAAATTCCAATCTCTGCTTTTAGTACTTCATCTTCTGTAGAACAGAACAGCACTACCACCCCAAGAATAGGTAAGTCACTATGCATGCTGGATAACAGAAATGCAGACATACTCATGATCTTTAGATGATTGAGCTTTTTGGTTTTTTGAGTAGTGTTATTTGAAAAGCAAATTACACTTTTCTTGATGATGTTAGAATCATTAGATACCTCAAAGAAATTAATATTGTTTAAATAGGATAGAGAGTTTTGTAAGTGAGGTTATTACTTATATTTCATCTTTTAGTTGTTATTGTTAAGAGCTATTGCGTCAGGTATAACTTAACAGCCACCCCATGAACAACAGATCTGAACCTTATCTTGTCCTGTGTCATCTGTAACTTCCCATTGCCGTTGTAACTGTCAGTCCACCTGGTTGAAGGTCTTTCTTTCCTTTGCCAGCCCTCTGCCTTTCTAGGCATCATGTACCTCTCTAAGGAATAGCCCTCCTAGCAACTTGCCTGAAGTTTGTGAGGCAAAGTTTTATCATATTTGCCTTTAGAGAGCACTCTGGCTGCACTTTTTCCAAGATATATTTGTTCTTTTGTCAATCCATGGAATGTTCAGTGTTCTTCTCCTACGCCACAGCTCAAAGAAACCAATTCTCTGTCATCCTTATTCATTGTCCAGCTCTGAGATCCATAGCACGTGATCAGAAAGACCGTGGCCTTAATTAGACACACTTCAGTCCTCAAACTGACATCATTACCCCCCAATAATTTGGAGATGTCTCTAACTGCAGATTTTCTCTCGATTTCCTGATTGCGGGTACCAAGGGTCTTGGTTGTATGTTCAAATAAGATGAAGTTGTTGGTAGTTTAAATCTTTTCTCCATCTATCATGATGTTGTCTATAGATCCAGCGGTAAGAAATTGTATTTCCTCAACACTGAGGTGCAGTACATATTGAAGGCTGTATTCTTTGATCTTCTGCCGCATGTCTCAAGTCCTCACTTTCAGCAAGCAAGGTTGTGCCATGGCATAATGCAGGTTATTGATGAATCTTCCTTCAATCTTAATGCCACATTCTTCTTCATAGAGTTCAGCTTCTCGAATAGTATATTCCACATACAGGAAGAATAGGTGTGGAGAGAGAATACAGCCCTGATGCAGTCCTTTCTTAATTTTAAACTCTGTTCACACAACAGCCTCTTGGTCTAGGTATATGTTTTGCACGAACACAAGTAAGTGCTCTGAGACTCCCCTTCTTCTCAGTGTTAGTCATAACTTTTGATCCACACAGTTAAGTGCCTTTGTGGCTTCAGTAAAGCATAGACATTCTGCTATTTTAGTTTACTTTCAGCCAATATCCATCTGACGTCAGCAATGATGCCACCACCTCTTCTAAGCCACAGCTTGTTCAGAGGTACATTTTATACAGTAGTTGTTAAAAGACTAGGTAAGTAGGTAAGGGAGATTGAGAAATTAAAAATGGACTTCCAGTTTCTCAGACCTCTTTAAATGCTAGTACATTAGACAGTAAAGAAGAGCAGGATTGAGACAGAATTCTATGTAATTCATGTTCAGTATCCCATCTTAGATCTTACTAAACGTTTTTTGTTCTAAGAGCGTATAAACATGTAAAGGAGCTGTAATTTTAACAATCTATTGCTTATTCAACTATAATTTTGTGTTCTGTTCTGTGTTCACATAATACTTACTTAGCACCTATTATTATGGTATATTTGTGTTTTATTGACCACTCAAAGTCTTTTCACTCTGGGGTTCACATCAGCTTATGGCTACCATTAAGAAGACTGAGAATCCCTGAATAGTTAATTGTGCTCATGGGAAACCTAGACATATACTAAGAAGCTGTTGTGTCAGTAGAACATGGGAATACATAATGATCCAAAATTTGGAAAGATGTGCATATGGACTGTTTCTTTTCTCCATGCTTGTTCAGTTGGTGTGCAGGATAATTGGGAAGCTGGACTTAATTATGTAACATCAGGACTGGAGGAAGTCTCATTATTAACCTGCATTATGTACATGACACAATTTTGTTCGTTGAGAGGGAAGGGCACCTGAAGCATGTGCTATAGAAGATCAAAGACTATAGCCTTCAACAGGGATTACTTCTCAAAATCAAGTAAACAAAAACCCTTACTATTAGGCCATTAGGCAACATCTTAGTAAATGAATAAAGAATTGAAATTGTCGGAAATTTCATATTATTTGGATCCACAATCAACACCCTTGTACCCACTCAATAAATCAAGACATATGTCACATTGAAAAGATCTCCTGTCCGATACTTCTCCAAAGTGCTAAAAAAACGAAGATTTTAGTTTTCAAGACTAAGGTGGTCCTGATCCAATCTGTGATCTTTTCTGTTTCTTTCTATGCTTCTGAGAGTTGGACAATGACTAATAATGACAGAAGAAGAATCAATGAGTTGTGATATTGGTAAAAGAGTACTGAATATCTCATGGACTGTGAAAAGAACAGACAGGTCCGTTTGAAAAAGTGCATTACAAGTTCTCCTTAGAGGCAGGGATAGTGAAACTTCATCTACCTAATGTGGGCATGTCATTAAGAGATGCTAGTTTTTGGAAGAAGGCAGTGCTTGAAAAGATGGAGGGGTCAGTGTAAAAATAACACCCTCGTGTAACAGTAGGCTTAAGTATATCAGGAGTGATGAGGATGGCATAATCCAGAGCAGCATGTCTGTTCTTCATAGAGGTGCTTCATGAGTTACAGTCAGCTTGATGGCACCTCCAACAACATTATTGTGGGACACTTATCATTGAGCATATGCACACCCATGTTTATCATGGCTTTGTTCACAATAGCAAGGAGTTGGAAACAACCTAAGTGCTCATCAACAAATGAATGGATAGAGAAGCTGTGGTGTATTCATACAATGGAACACTAGGCTGCATTGAAAAACAAGGAACTCATGCAGTGTTATTCAAAATGGGTGACCCTGGAGGACATTATGCTGAGTGAAATATCTCAGTCACACAGGGAAAAATACTGCATGGTGCCACTGCTGTAAAACAGGACTGACTTTGGGGCTGGAGGGAGACCGAGAAAGATGGGATAAAAAATGTATACTGCATTGAAACAGGTGAGGGGGAAAACTGTTTAAAAGAGTTATGTGATTAATTATTATTGTCATGACAGGAATCCAGAACGAAGGCTGCATAGTGGAGTGGACCTGGGGGGAGGAATTGTAAAACAATGAAAGAATTTTACTTTTCAAAGATTAGAGGGTACTAGGGGGGTGGGGGAGGGGGTTGGCAGGGTGAAAAGTACAACAATGAATGAATGGAAATCCAAAGTGTCTGTAAATTTTCTTTAAAATTAATAATAATTTTTAAAAAAAACATAGTGAAGCATATAGGAGCAATAAACAAGAATTCGTTTAATATTCTGTAGTCTTCAGTGAGATTTCGTAGTGTGAAAGAGTTGATTTTTAATTAATAACCAAAATAATTTTAAGAAAATTTGTTTTTCTTATGAAGTAATTAAGAAGATCCCTAGAATGACCTTATTTAATAGGCAAATGTTTGAAGTGGTTCTGGATGATGTGCAAAGAAAAGTTGTGCCATATCTTGACAAAATACATGTTTTTGCTGGAAAGCAACATTAAAAAAAATCTGACAAGTTACCACATTAATCAATGAGGATAAGCAAAAATTTAATGCTTATTTTTCATTTTCTTTGTTGGAAATTAGAACTAAAACATATGGTTTAAATGTTTATGTTCTCAAAGTAAATTTCACCTATGTTCTCTATAAAGTTATTTGAAAAATTCATGATGAAAAATTAAACTTTCAAGGAATATTCATCCTGAATCCTTCTTATCATATGGAGATTTTTTAAAAGCATTTCTTTGAGTTTATTATGCTTAATTTATTTGTTTGAGTATAAAGGATACTCGTCTAGATGATAACATAATTATGATAAAAACAAAAGGGGGAAAATATGGGAAGCCAATATGAAATATTTGTAATAAACTGAATGCTATTTAAATTTAGAAAAAAAAGAAAAATCAGATGTGATTGAATAACCCAGGTTATAGATTTGTATTTTCTCTGAATCATTGTGTATAATCTATCTTTAATTGAATATTACGGACATTTCTGTCAAGTCATTAACTCCTTTTTCTTCTGCAAAGGAGTAAATCAAAGCAAAAATTAAACCCACTGCCCTTGAGTCAGTTCTAGGTAATGATGACCCTCTGTAGAGTTTGTGAATCTTTAACGGGAAGAGGCTGCCGTCTTTCTCCTGATGAATTCAAGCAATCTGACATACAACAAAGAGCTCCATAAAAATAAACCCAATGCCATCACATTGTTTCTTTCTTGTAATAAGCCTCCCTCTGGTTTCCAAGGTTGTATATACTTACAGGAGTACACTGCACATCTTTCTTTTTCAGGGCCTTTGATGGATTCTAGCTGCTGGCCTTTTGGTTAGAAGCAGAATGCAGCATGTGATAATGCACTATGTCACCAGAGCTCTTCCCAAGTCTCTTTAAGATTGAACAATTACAGTTTAACCATTTTCTCATACATTCAGTTCAGATAACAGATGTTGCCCTGGATGTGCTCAACAAGTTGTGCCAAGAAATCTAGAGAACAACCACTTGGCCAACTGACTGGAAGAGATCTATATTTGTTCCCATTCCAAAGAAAGGTGACCCAACTGAGTGTGGAAACTACAGAACAGTGTTATTGATTTCACATGCAAGCAAGATTCTGCTGAAGATCATCCAAAAACGATTACAACAGCACATCAGCAGAGAACTGCCGGAAGTCCAGGCTGGGTTTAGAAGGGGTCGTGGTACTAGGGATATTGTTGCTGATGTTAGATGGATCTTGGCTGAAAGCAGAGAATACCAGAAGAATGTCTATCTGTGTTTCATTGATTATGCAAAGGCATTTGACTGTGTGGATCATAACAAACTGTGGCTGACTCTGAGAAGAATGGGAATCCCAGAACATTTAATTGTCCTAATACGAAACCTGTACTTGGACCAAGAGGCAGTAGTCAGAACAGAGCAGAGTAACACTGTATGGTTCAAAATTGGGAAGGGTGTACGCCAGGGATGCATCCTGTCTCCATACCTTTTCAACATGTATGCAGAGCAGATTATCCGAGAGGCTGGGCTCTATGAGGAGAATTGTGGCATCAGGATTGGTGGAAGGTCTATTAACAATCTCCGTTATGCAGATGACACAACCCTGCTTGCTGAAACTGAGGAGGACCTCATGCACTTGCTGCAAAGGGTCAAGGGCTGCAGCCTTCATTATGGACTAAGGCTCAATGTCAAGAAGACAAAGATTCTCACCACTGGACCAATTGGCAGCATCAGGATGGATGACGAAGAGATTGAGAGTGTTCACAGCTTCAGTTTGCTCGGCTCCACAGTCAACACTCTTGGCACCAGCAGTCAGGAAATCAAAAAGCGTATCGCGATGGGAAAGTCTGCTGTTAGGGACCTCTCTAAAGTACTCAGGAGCAACAGTGTCTCTCTGGAGACTAAGGTGTGCCTGATACAGGCCATGGTATTTGCAATCGCTTGTTATGCATCAGAGAGTTGGACAATGACTAGGGAGGACAGAAGGAGAGTGGCTGCTTTTGAGCTGTGGTGCTGGAGAAGGGTACTGAATGTACCCTGGACTGCCAGGAAATCAAACAGATTTATCTTGGAGAGGATTAAACCAAGCTACTCCTTGGAGGCAAGGATTCTGGGGCTTCGTCTGACATACTCTGGACATGTTGCCAGGAGGGACGGGTCCTTGGAGAGGGACATCATGCTTGGGAGGGTTGAGGGACAACGCAGGATTGGAAGACCCTCTTTGAGATGGATTGATTCGGTGACTGGGGTAATCGGGATGGGTGTGTCAGAGGCGGTGCGGTTGGCGCAGGATAGAGCAGGGTTTAGGGTTGTTGTGCATAGGGTCGCTGTGAGTTGGAAACGACTCGACGACACATATCAACAACAACAACAATTATTTCCTTGACATATTCACAGGAGAATATCAAGAACAAACATATGATCAAGAGGTAATGAGGATGAAGGAGGAAGTTCAGGCTTTTCTGAAGGACTTGGCAAGAAATAAAGCCCGAGGAATTGATGGAATACCAGTTGATTTATTTCAACAAACATGCTGCCCTGGATGTGCTCACCAAGTTGTGCCAAGAAATCTGGCGGACCACTACTTGGCCAACTGACTGGAAGAGATCCATATTATTCCCATTCTAATAAAAGGTGACTTGACAGAGTGTGGAAATTATAGAACAAAATCACTAATACCAAAATCCTGCTGAAGATTATCCAGAAACGACTGGAACAGTACATTGACAGAGAACTACCAGAAATACAAACTGGATTTAGAAGAGGTCATGGCACTAGAGACATTATTGCCAGTGTCAGATGGATCTTAGTAGAAAGCAGAGTACCAGAGGAATGTCTGTGTTTTATTGACTATGCAGAGGCATTTGATTGTGTGAATCACAAATTGTGGCTAACCTTGAGGAGAACAGGAATCCCAGAACACTTGATTGTGTTTTTGTGATATACTTGGGCCAAGAAGGAGTCCTCAGAACAGCAAGGAAATACGACGTGGTTCAAAATCAAGAAATAACTGTGTCAGGGATGTGTCCTATCTCCATACTATTTCAATCTATATGCAGAACAGATCATTCGGAAATCAGGGCTTTATGAGGAGAAATGTGGCATCATGATTGTAGATAAGACTCATCAACAATTTACATTATGCAAATGACACAACCTTGCTTGCTGAAACTGAAGAAGACCTGAAGTGCTTGCTGCAGAAGGTCAAGGATTGTAATCTTGAGTATGAATTGAAGCTTAACATCAAGAAGACAAAGATTCTCACCACTGTACCAATTGGCAGTACCATGATAGATGGAGAAGATATTGAGGTTAACAATTACAGCTTGCTTGGCTCCACAATCAACTCTTGGCATCAGCAGTCAGCAAATCAAAAGACAAATTGCATTGGGAAAATCTGCTGTCAGGGATCTCTTCAGAGTGCTGAAGAGCAATGATGTCAGTTTAGAGATTAAGGTGTGCCTAATCCAGGCCATGGTTTTCACAATTCCTTGCTATGTATCAGAGAGCTGGACAGTGACTAAGAATGACAGAAGAAGAATCGATGTCTTTGAATTGTGGTGCTGGAGAAGAGCCGTGAACATACCATGGACTGCCAAGAAAACAAATAGGTCTGTCTTGGAGAGGTTGAAACCTCTCCAGGATTCTCCTTGGAGGTTTGGACACATGGCCAAGAAAGGCAGACCCTGGATGAGATGGATTGATACAGTGGCTGGGGCAATGGGAGTTGGTGTGCCGGAATTAGTAAGACCAGCTTAGGTCAGGACAGGGTTCCAAGCTGCTGTACACAGGGTTGCTGTGGGTCGCAGGCTACTCAACAGCACATAACAACAACGTCTTTCGGATAGAATTAGCATTGCTGCATCAGTGAGTATATTAACTTAAAAAAAAAATCTGTATTTTAAATTGTCCTTACTGAAAAATAACAGTGATCAATGAGATTGTCTACTTATGTATCTTACATGTTAACAGACATATATAGTTGTAGAAAATTAAATTAATTGTGGTAGTTTACATTTCATTTAAAAAAGAGAAGGCTCTGATTTTTATTTGTTGTTCTTAACCCCTCAGAAAACCAGACAAACAAAACAACAGATGGTTCTGTTAGCAAGAAAGCAGCTGATAGTACATCACAGGTAAGAGTTTTTCTTTTACTATAAAATAAAATGCCATTTACAGTCCACAGGAGAATAGATTGTCATCAGTATTGTTTCGTGTGACAAAAAAAAAAATAATCTAAATCTGATTTTCAGAGATATCCAAATAATTTTTTGGTAACATTTCCCACCAATTCTGTTTCTTTAACTATTTGTTGGTTGGGTGGTAGGTGCCATTGAGTCTACTATATGACTTATAATGTCCCTTTGAAGACCAGATCACAACTTTCCCTGTCTTGCACTATATTCCCAATCTCTTCCATGCTTAGGCTTATTGTTGCAATGATTATGTAATCTGTCTCATGGAAGGTCTTCCTCTATTTTGTTGATCTTCTTGCCAACATGATGTCTGTTTTCCTCCTGTCAGGCACTTCTGACAACCTGTCCGAAAGTATGTTTAGAGTAAGCTTCACCATCCTTGCCTCTAAGGAGCACCCTGGTTGCTCTTTTTTCTAAGACAGATTTGTTTGTTCTTTTGACAGTTTATGGGATGGATATTCAATACTCTTTGCTATCACCATAATTCAAAGGCGTTAGTTAGTTTTCTGTCTTCTCTTATTTATTCTTTTTCACATGAATATGAAGGAACTGAAAATTCCATGACTTGGGTTAGATGTACCTGTCCTTAAGCTGACATCCTTGCTCTTTAGTATTTTAAAAAGGTCCTTGACAGCAGATTTTCCCAATTCAACATGTCTTTTGATTTTTTTTTTTTTTAAACTGTCACTTCATTGCATGTTAAGGTGTCCCTAAGGTATCTTTTTTGGCCTTGTGATGCAGGAGTTGCATTGCCAACCCAAAGGAAGGCAATTTAAATCCACTTGCTGCTGCTTATGAGAAAGGTGGGCAGTCTCCTTCTGTGTGGTTTACAGCCTGTGCAAACCTGCTAGAGGGTCAGCTGTGAATAAAAGTCAAAGAAGGTTTGATACTTGTATATTGTGTTGTTGGAGAGAATCGTACTGAATTTCCCTTGAACTGCCTAATGAACAAACAAATGTATCTTAGAGAGAGTACAGCCAGAGTATCCCTTAGAGACAAGGAATGCTTCATCATATCTTTGGAAATGTTGCTAGAAGAGGCTATTCCTTGAAAAAAGATATCATGCTTGGAAAGGTGGAAATTCAAAAGGGAAGAAAAACCTCCATGAGATAGATTGACATCATGACTGTAGTAATGAACTCAAGTATATCAGATGAAAAGCAGGGTTTAGGTTTGTCTGTTGATAGGATTTCCATGAGTCATAAATGACTTGACAACTCTTAACAACAACAACAATGGGTATTGATTTTAATTTCATATAAAATGAAATCTTTAAAAACTAATCTTTTCTCCACTTGTCATTATGTTGTCCATTGATGAGCATTTTTGTTTAATTGATTTTGAGGTATAATTCATACTGAAGGCTGTCTTGTTTGATCTTCAAGTGCTTCAAAGTTGTCACTTTCTTCAAGAAAGGTTGTGTTATTTGCATCTTTTAGATTATTGATACTCTTCTTCCAATCCTGATGGAACGTTCTTCCTTTCGTGCACTTTGTTGAATTATTTGCTAAGTATATATATTGAACAGATATGGAAAAGAATACAATTCTGATACTCATTTTCCTGATTTTAAACTGTGCAATTTCTGTTTAAAGGACTGTTTCTTGATCTATGTACAGGTTTTGCACAAAAACACATTAAAATGTCTGGATTCCCTTTTTTTCATGATGCTGTCCATAAATTATTATGATCACACAGCCAAATGCATTTTTGTAGTCCCTAAGACATAAGAATCTTTTTGTTATTCTCTGCATTTAGCTAGTATATTTCTTGACACTACCAACCATACCTTTGTACCAGAGGCTCTTCTGAGTGTAGCTAAAGTTTCTGGACATTTTTTGTTAATGCATTGTTTCAGTCGATTTTTGCATGATCTTCAGGGTTTTATTTGTGTGTTACATTAATGCTGGTACTTTCTGTATTTTGTTGACTTACATTTTTTAGGAATGGGAACAAATAAGGATCTCTTCCACTCAGCCAGGTAGCTCTCTTGCAAATTTTTTGGCATAGATTAGTGAACATACCCTGGACAGCAGCTATTTTTTGAACTAACTCATTTAGTGCATCTTAGACTTATTCACTCAATTCTACAGGTTCTTTATATATGTTACGTTTGGAAATAGTTCCATGTCAACCATTTCTTTTTGGTATCATAACTGTGCATTCTTTACATCTTCTTTTTTGTCTTTTTTTGCTCATTCAATATTATGCCCATAGAATCTTTTTAACACCGAAACTCAAGGCTTTAATTTATTCTTCAGTTCTTTCCAGTTGAGAATTGCCAAGTGTATTCATCTTTTTTTGCTTTTTGTACATTTCATTAAAAAAGTTTGCATAGTTGTCTTGAGCTTTCTTTTCATATTTCCTGTTCTTGTACTTCATTTTTTCTCACTCTTTAAGCTTGTCTGCATTGAAGACCAAGGTTCACAATCTCTGCTGACATAACATTTTTTAATTGGGTTGCTTACAAATTTCATATATATTGTTTCACACTATTCCTTATTCATATTGTGTTTCATACAGTCATTCTCTTGCATTCTTGTTGTGTACCTAGAGATGCAACTGACCCATAACTGACCCTCTAGCAGTTTTCTTAAGCTGTTAACTGTACAGGAGGAGATTGCCCATTCTTCTCCCACAGAGCACCTGCTGGTCATAACCATGGGATTGCAGTGCATCTTCTTACCACTACGCCACCAGAGCTCTCTTCTCATACATTATGTTTTATAAAATTAATCATTATTGAACTTTGCCCATCATGTCTTTTTACCCAGAACCTTCCCATTTCCTTCCCACACCTCCCTCCACCTACCAAATAACAATCCTGTGGTTTTGCCCCTACCTGTTCTCACCCTGCTGCTCTCACGCCTTTTCCACTTAGGTTTCCATACATGTTTTACTAGTTATCCTTTCATTTTTACGAGAATGGTCTTATGCAGTATTTGTCCTAATGAGACTGAATTCACTCAGAATAATGCTCTCCTGTTTCTCCAGAGTTATGTAGTAGTTTTTAAATCATTGCTTCTCAGGGATGCATTCCATTGTGTGAATGAACCACAATTTCTCAGTCCATTCATTTGTGGTTGGACATTTGGGCTGTTTCCATGTTCGTGGTTTTTTTTGGTTTTTTTTTTTTTTTAGGAATACTTCTTGCTGATCTTCTCTGTATCTTTCCAATTTTAGTATATGTGCTGCCGAAGCGAGCACTGTTTCCATGTTCTTGAGGTGGTGAATGATGCTGCTTCAACATTGGTGTACAAACCTCCATTTGTGTCTCAGTTTTAATTCCTTGGGGTATAATCCTAGTCGTGGAATAGTTGGGTTATACAGAGTTTCTATATTCAACTTTTTGAGGAAACACCAAACTGTCTTCTAGCATGGCGGTACCATTTTACAATCCCACCAATAGTATGAGAGATCGCACATCACCACATCCTCACCAACATTTATTGCTTGCTGCCCTACTAAACTTTGCCATTGCTGCTGAGGTGAAATGGTATCTCATTGTCGTTTTGATTTTCCTCTCTCTTATTGCTAGTGATTTTGAACATTTTTTCATGTTTCTATTGGCCATCTGAATGTTTTCATCTGTGAAGAGTTCATGTCTTTTGCCCCTTTTGTAATTGGGTTATCAGTCTTTTCTTCTGGAGGCCCCAGGAGTATTCTATAAACTTTTGTTATGAGACCCTTACCCGAGATGTTGTTGTTGTTGTTATGTGCCGTCGAGTCGTTTGCGACTCATAGCGACCCTATGTACAACAGCCCTAAACCCTGCTCTATCCTGCGCCAACC